TTCAGGGTTGATTGTGCCGCTACAGTAACGTCAAAAAGCAAGACAATATTGTCCGCATAATGCGATTGACAGAGAGGCGATTATAATCGAGGTTTTATGTGAAACCGATTTAAGTTATGTGAATACACCTTAGGAGGGCATTTCCCACATTTCACCATAGCTACCACGGATGAACCGAAGCAGCACCAGTAACAGTACGAAATTGTGTGAACAGAAAATAAGTTGCCGTGCGGGTGCGCAGTTGCCACTTGAATAAACAGTCCCGAATCTGCTGGTAATGATTATGCTTTACCGAGGTGAATCATTGGTATTTGCATCCTGTTTACGTCACAGTGTCTAAGCCCAGTTTTTCGATCGGGACGTTGATTCCTCACGTTTAAAGATGCCTTTCGATACTTCTTTGAATGTGTTTATGTGTCCATGCTCAAAATCAACAGACTGCGTAGTACGCGCAGTATCTCATATTCGTCATATTCGATTATCGCTGCCTTCGCAGCTTAGCTCATGTCTGGTGGGAGCACCGCGTGAGCAATGAGCGTGTTCGGCGTCGAGTATTTGGTGCCGGAAGATCGAGTGATGCACTCAGCACCATTATATCACGCGCCAGGCTCCGATGGTTGGGCCACGTGTTGCGCATGCCAGCACACCGACTTCCGCGACGTTCATTGTTTACGCGTTGTGGGTGCGGTTGGAAGAGGAGGAGGTCAAGCGATAACTTGGTCGAGAGAAATGAACACCCGGACTTCGAAGTTGGCGTCGTTTGGTGCATCCCGACTGCTTGGCTGGGGTCCTAAGGACGGTGAACACGTTTGGTTGGCCACACTTGCTGATATAGCTTGGAGTCGGTCACAATGGCGTTTGTGTTGAGTTCCTTTGTCCATCCCCCTCCTGCTTAGCATCCCTTCCAATCACGATCTCACTTGTTAGACATAATATAACTCTCTTTTTACTGCACGGTAGCCAGCTTTTAGCTCTCCGCAACGATGTCCATCCGTTACTGGGACTCAGTCGGCGTGCGACTGTTTGTTTTCCTTTTCTTGTCTTTTGTATTGCGGCACACTAGCCGAGGTGTTTTCCACCTGCAGGTAACGTGTATAATGATGATGATGATGATGCAGTATCACAGTTTTTTAGTCGATGAAAAACTGCACTAATGGCCTAAATACTCAAACGGAGGAAATCATCGTTATTATTAGCTAGTGAACACGGATACATCCACAGTAGATAGAGTAAAAAGGATGTTCCAGTGAAACGACGTTAGTCAATTTAAAATGATCTACCAGCCAGCATCTTAGTGAACGGATTCAACGCTTTTAGTTTCAGCGTATACGTCAGTCCATTTGACCGATAGCCCCACCTATTCTGCCGTCTAATATCCCTAATGCTAGTCCGATTGCTTTGTATTAGCTGCGCTTTCTGAGTTGCTCCGAAGCCACTAATCTCAATGAGCAGTGGGTGGCGCACTCTGATCCGTAAAGTAGCCTTCCTTCTCATCAATAATTTGGACCACTAAACTCATTCTTTCCGCCTATTGGATCATCCATCGAAACTCTCAATTGTGGTTTCCATTCCCTCTACTACTACTTCATTTCACCTGTCGAAGTTGTGGATTTAACTTTATTTTGGGAGTCATCCCCTCAGGGATTTGTTTTTATCTCAATTACATTCGTTGCGTTTTGTTTCGTAGCTTATATATCTCGTCATTTGTTCTGAAGGCTCATGTAGTCGTACAAAAAAACGAGATCGAATCCTCTCCCTAGGGCCACCTCATTTTCGGTGTGATGTCCCTCACTGCTACGCGATTTCAGTTAACTACTTCTTTGATCTAGTTTTGCTAGCCTTTAGACACCAGACCCATCCAACTAAGACATCCGCTTAACTTGTCGTTTCGACACTGCGACTTGCGGTGGGCTGCTGCCGTTTTGCCCAATCCGGAATCTCCGATGACAAGTCAATTTTGCCGGTTGAGTAAGCACGCTCATTTGTCAGGGTTCACCAAGTGACAAGGTGCTTGTCGATGCACCGTCCTCTCTAGATCTGCTCCGTTGAGTTCCCATCTAAGCACCAGTAGTAACACTTCGTTATCCACTTTCAACTCATTCATCACTCGCATCTGACCACATGATAGAAGCCTGAACAGCCTTCCCAGTTGTTGCCTCCGCTGCCACATGCGCACAATTCTCCTCAGTTGAGAACCGTCAAGTTAAGATCGAAAATCCGTCCCTTTCACCTTAACAGCCGCCATTTGGGGAGCGCCCTTGTTCTTCTACTAGGCTGTCTGCCCCATTACCACTTTCTTGCGCTTGTTTCCAGTCTGGGATGACTGCAACGGTAACTGGGATATTTTGCATCGCTTGCTACAGGTCATTACCGCGGTATTAGCGCCTGTACTATGTAATATCATTCTTCGCATGATTTGCTTGCGACTTTCAGTCCCCATCGACATGATGCACCTTGATTTGTAATTTGGCGACCATGCAAACCACCAAGGCTCCGTTCATCCAAATTGGGAGCAATCGATGTTACTATTGCTCAGTGTTGCGTTCAAAAACCGGCATCTATTTTACTGTGTATCTCTAGGTAGCTCGATTGAGACACTGGCTCTAGATAGACCTCATGACCGCGTACTATTACACTACTTAGCGCACAGTTTCTGTTATGCTTCGCACCGAGTTGCTCTGATTGGTCTTTGTAGATTCCGACCGCTCCGATTGGTTGATCCGTTGCAAGTTCCTTATCCGTTAAACACCAGGCCATTACATGGCACAGACCAGTGTTGTTTACATCACCCTGCTGACCCACTCGGGGAGTCTCTGTACTCTTCCACTCTTACTTGTAAATAATACAAAAGAAAGGAAGGCATCAGTGATACATCTGCACTGCGTACCGACACTTCGCTGCTGCGCAACCACCACCAGTCGCACGTAGGCTAAGGATACTGCGAGGGTCGCCCGGTCCACTACGCATGTTGGAACCCGCGCCATCGGATTACAAAGCGGGCTTGTGATCCTTAAGTTTACAGGCAAATAATGGCATCAGATTGTCCAATATCATTTTTCTGCTGCGAATCTTCAACCAATACGATTGTTGCTTTACAAAATATCTCAACCGATTCCACTGGTAATGGGTAATGTCTACTATTCCTACAGAAGACGAAGTAAGATATTCGCTTAAATCTTTCCCTGGTGAAAAAGTACACTTATCTATGGAATCAGCTGCTATTACAATTAAGAACCAGCAGAGCTTGTCACATTTCCCCACATCTGAGAACTTTTTTTTCATGCTAAATATGGTCAAACTTTTGGCCTTCAGCAATCTATAAGTGCACTCGAGAATCCGCTCCGGAAAACATGAGGAAACTAGTTTTTCATTAATCAGTTACATGTTCCATGTTCTACAAACCATACTTGTTGAACAGATTTTCCGTTGATAAAATACTGATGTGATTCGTTACACAGCTGTGATCATTCCACAAAAATGGACGTATCCCGCCAATCTGGGCGGGATTCGGGACTTCAGGAAAATGCCTAGGTTTTGGTCGATGCACAGTTCGTTTATTGCCCGATTCCTTAATAGGTACTTTGCCCAACAGTTTCCTACCCCTCTGTCTGTTCGATCGAACCTCAAGAGTAGCTTTGCGTGCATTCTATTCAGTGATTGGCGACATCCGGTTCCGGATTCGCCTGTCACACTGGCCTTCACGGGGACAGCCACAAGACGCTTGTGCCCACAGAGGGACCATGTGTGACTTGCGCTGTACCACCCACAGCTGCATCCACGCACCCCATCTGCAGTATATACATACTTCAAGTGATAAACACACGTTTGGTAGCACTCGTAGGAGGCGCTGCACCCGGTAGAAATACCACTCATATAACTCAGTCTATCTACTTGACCCCCAGTGCTCCTGCTGATTCTACACTCCCGCATCCAATTGTCAAAATCCCATCTCGAGTAAATTTACTAAACTTTTTTATATAGGAGTAGTAGGGGGAGTTGAATGGTATAGGTAGAAATTCGTCACATCTAGATTCACTCAGACAGCCGTCACACGACCGGAAAAGCATTGTACGTGCGTTTCCTCCTTTCGGGTGTCGTCAGCAGTGCGCATTCCATCCGACCCTGGTAGGGCTCGAACCCGCAGCTCGACTGTTGCCAGTCAGTGGTTGAGACCACGGGGGGACTACCCTGTCCTCTGCATGACATTAACGTGTAAGTGGGTAGTGAGCGGCGCTATATCACATCTAGTAATTTATTCACGATGGTCGTTGCCTGCTCCGTAGCTCAGTGGTCTCAACCACCGACTGGCAACAGTCGAATTGCGGGTTCGAGCCCTACCAGGGTCCGATGGAATACACACTGTTAACGATTTCCGAAAGGATCAAACGCGCGTACAATGCTTTTCCGGGCGTGTGAGGGCTGTCGGAGTGAGTCTAGATGTGACGGACTTCTATTTAAACTTTTTTTCTTCTTACTCCATTTGTTTTCTCTTCCATATTCCAATTATTGTTAATAGTTTTTATCTTGTCACGGCGAGTCGTGACAACTGGACCCAACACATATGGGTGCTCTGTCATTGTTTTATTTAAACTCCAACTTGTGCGAACTGTTTAGCTAGCTGAGTCCTGTCTCTGGCAACGTTGTCGCTGCAATAAATTTCACCTACTTAACCAAGTGAATCCATTCTGAACTTACCATCTGTCTTAACCGTTCGGGTTTCACCGATGGGGTTGGCCGGCAGCCTTCACTAGTTACATCCAACATAGATGGTTAACTTCGCAAACAGAGATTTTGAAACTGAAAGCAAACACATGCCCTCCGGCTGATTGTGAGCTCAAGTCTCTTTCATCGCGTGACAGTTGCGATAAGTTTACTTGATATTCCGCGTTGTGACGACATGTGCCATTCAACCTTAATGTGACGATAAGTTTTCTGTTTCTCATTATGATCCTCCATCCTTTCTCTGAGCGATTGGACTTCATCTCATTGTATTTCTGCAGCTGTTCAAGAGGAACGACAGCATTCAGGCCATTCGACCTACCTCGGTTCCCCTGGGAATTCCAGTTGTTCCCCGGACCGATATGGTGGATCATCCACCCTCTCTTTGGACGAACTGAATTGTCAACCCGCGCTATGCGACCCATCAAACGATCATCCAGGCCACACGACTGTTGTGACGCCTGAGTCCATTTGTGCACCTATCCCATCGACCGACGTTCCGCCATTATCCTCATCATCCCGGGGGGATAACTTTCAACTCTTTCCGGATTTGAGCTTCACTGTGACTCCCCCGCAAGCCTTGGATCAAATTGCAACCGCTGAGTGTCTTTTGGAACAGCGGCGAAAATGCTGGCTCACTCATCAGTCCAGTTACAAGGTAGTGGAGGAGGAAGGGCAGACGAAGACCTTTGGCAAATCCGGAACGCTACAGTCTGTTCGTTTAGCAGCGGACATCGTCGACGTGAGTTCCACCGTGGTGAATGTTAACTCTCATTTTACGTTTCACATTACTCCAACGCTAGCACGTCGTCTTCTTCCAACCCTTCTTCAAAGCTACCTCATACTCGCAATATTCCCTGGGGTTACACCCTATCGTTGTCCTCGTCTTAGCTCAGGATTACAATTTCAAACCTATTCGTAATTGTAGTGGTCAACTCATCCAACCAACGCGATCAGAAAGTTTGCCTTCAAATTACCAAATTTCAAGGTTCACGAGTCATTTTTTTAGGCTCTAAGTAGGTGTCAGCAGCATTGCGGTGCCTTGTACCGACGCTTCGCTGTCACGCGACCACCAACAATCGCCTTCGGGGGTAGAGATAATGACTTGTCATCCGCAGGCTCGAACCAACGACCTGCGGATTACAAGCCAAAGCTACAACCACCAGTCGATAGCTGGCTTTTCTTTTGACTGCTCGCCGCTTCGTCTTCTATCGGTTCCGTTGTCCTCAACCGTATACCATCAACATTTGTGGTCACGCTAGTATCTCACATTAGTATCGATTGGCTCCTATCATGACGAGAAGACGTTTCGCCAGGTTCGGTATCACTGTCCTACAGTCACCAATAGCTGAGTTCCATATTGACTTGGATTGTATTACAGCAACTTGATGCTGAAATTGTAGGGAGCATTGGGCCCCTATTTGGCAAAAGAAAGGCATGTGAATTGGACAATCAGTCACCGGCTCTCAATGGGCGCGATTCCCTGAATTCGCTCCGTTGCCTTACGGGCAGCCGATTCGTCCAAAGGCTCGGGGTGGTGTCCCCTAAGTCAACACCCTACTTCGGCTTCAGCAACCGGGTAGTACCTCGCCCTCCGACAAAACCATGGACTCCTCCGTGTTAGGTTTTTTAACCATATCTGTACCTTACTTTGAGTTCCGTGGTTTTTGATGGCTCCATTCCTATTCCTAGGCTGTTACAATTAATTCATTATATTGACTTGGGTCAGTGCACGTTTCTTTCTCTGACTTTTGACCTTATTCAAACCTTGCGCGGATAGTCGTTTCTGTCGTCGGAGGACGTTCCCTTCCTACTTTCGGGCTTATCCTTTCCCAGTTAGCAGGTTGTTTCACGAAGTACCCTTGATCACTTTCCATCCTGATATTGACTTGCGACGTTCGGTTACTTCGACCATGCGCCCTCTCTTACTTTTACTGACGTTTGTATTGCCTTCACGACCTTTAGGGACCGTGTTCACCTTCGTGGTGAGAAGCGGGACTCATCTACTTGCTTCCTCCCTCAGTATATTACGATTCATCAACAGTGCGCTTTTCCCCTGTATCTTGAATACAAGACCTTGAAACTTGTTGTCAGTGGCCCATGTCGCGAATAATGACGGTGACCTGTGTCGCTGCCCATTTAACTGTGATTACGTGGGGTTCGCTCCTCTTCAGAAAAGCGAACCAACAATCTAACGGATCTCTTCCGCTTATTGGCCAGTATTTCGTGTTTTTTCGTCGACCCTAAAGCATGCCTCCAAATTCACATATTTTGCAATCAACTGGTTCCTTCTGCGTTCCCCCTTCGAATTTAGCGTATCATTTGTGACTATCTTCCAGATTATATATAAAATCTTTTTAATACTAACCTATTTCCTATTTTCAGTGTTCACCAGAAAAGCTGCCTCTACTGGATCTCCTAACTTGGGCCGATCAATTGCCATTTTTCAATCAATTCCCACCAGAGCTTCGATTAACTCTACTAAAATCCGGTACGTTTATTATTGCGGGAATTTCGATCACCTCTTCTTTGATGCTTCACTCGTGGGTGAAACTATCGATATTGCGAGTAATTCTGCTATTAAGGTACTTATCAGCACGATGACTCTGAGCTCATTGTCAATAACAGTTGTTAGTTAGACGCCAGTCTCCACAGTTTTATTTCAATGACTGTTGCGAGTATTCCTTTGAGCAAGCTGTTTTTCCTGCGCCATTTAAGATGGCTCGGTCGCGTTCTGTGCATGCCGTCTGAGCGTTTGTCCCATTGTGCGTCGTTTGCTCGTGTAGGACTCGGCTGGAGGTGATCACACGGTCATCAGTCGTCCACCTAGCCACTGCATATGAAATCGTTGACTTCACGTCTAGCACGCAGCTTTGCGACTCTCATTGTGTTCCGTTTCAGACGAAATGTGGTGGCAAGCATCTAGAGTTTCCAGAGACTGTAGAGATCCAATGTCCATTTGACCATTTGGTTTGCCACTTGAAGACACGTGTGCTGATACTAACCTCAGGCGGATATGTGACCAGTGACGCTCAACTGTGTTCGATGAGCGCTTACTCATCCCGCATACCATTGCGTTTTGATATGCATTCAGAACGTCTAGCCTCGCCAATTGGCTGGTGTTTATGTACTCACAGTGTCACTGGAGGCGTACGCCGATGCAAAATGCAAAACTGAGCACTTACGAGTGCATGGTCTGAACCCACATTCGTGCTCCAAATTGAGCGACTGTTTTGGACACAGCCTCTCAAACGGTAACTGATCGCGGCGTTGTCTAATTTGCGTCCATGATTGGTCCGAGGCTGATGGGCGCAATGTTGTTACCCTCCGGCGTGTGTTTTCTTGTAACTTCGTTTAAGGTTATTGTTTGCGCGAAATAGACGAACATTTTCCAATAGGTGTAGCAACCTCTCCCCATTATCATTGCAGATGCCTACACCTTGTTGGCCGCCCAGATGGTGCTCATCAGTGGACATTTTTCCAACCTGAGTGTCCAGATCAGCAGTCAACACTACAGCTCCCGTATCTCTGTCTTGATGAGAGAGTTCATTCATTTGGTGGTAGAAGTCATCTTTCACCGATTCAGCACTACAATTTGTGTGGGGGGCTTAGGCAACCGAAGCAAACAGGCACCGTTTGTTCCAGAGCAACTTCGAAGCTTGGAACGAGTCAGACAATCTGACGGTGTACATCCAGCTGTTCATTGTATCTGATCAATCCGATCAATTACTACATACACTTTCCGAACTCAGGAGGCCTTGTCCACAGGGGAACAGACCCGTTTTTACAAACTTTTAACCCTCGCCATTGGAAACTAATTTACTGACAAAATATAAGTACTATATGTGTCGCATTGGATAATGAAAGTAACTGAGGTGAGCGCAGTTTTTCTCCGAACTGTTCATAGCTATAAGAGCTTCATAATTTTGCACCCAGGCGATATTCACTTGAGGATGTCGCACAAACACGGTTGGTAAAATGTGCTTCCAGTAAACACTGCGAGATTATCATCTGTGATAAGGCGACCGCTGAAAGAAGAAGAGAGGCATCAGCAGTACGCATTACCGACGCTTCGCTGCCGCGCAGCCACCACCAGTCGCACTTGGGCTAAGTATACTGCAAGGGTCGCCCGGTCCCCCCTACACATGGTCGATCCAGCGCCCTCGGATTACAAAGTAGGCTTGTGATCCTTAAGACTACGGGCCTGCAAGATGACCCCTAGTTCTTGTGCTTTACGTACGGCATAAAGGCAACGCTGCTCCGCGCTGGCAAGTAATCCGGCTTCCTTGGTAGCATCTGAGGGGGCGCAAGAAGATTGGAAGAACTGGTTGACACTTAGGATAAGGCACGGTTTACCAAATGTAGCTAAATTTCGACATATATATTTGGGTATGCATTTGGCCCTCCATGTTGGGGTTTGGAGTGACGGTGGCTCCTTACTCCATAAAACGGGCTCTCTGTAGTCCAGTGCCAAAACCCTACTGCCTTGCGGTAAGGTTTTTGAACCAAAGGCTTTGGTTGAGAACCCTAATCGTTCTCCTGTCTAGACGTGGACAGCCTGACAGTATTCTGCTCACACAATACAATGAACCACTCTGTTAACAATTTCTCTGAGTGCATTAGGAATGACGGTAGCATTAGGCAACGATATATCTTCAAAAGAAAGGATAGGCAGTACAGATGGGCACGACCTCCTGTCCATTGGCCAGGAATTTTTCCAGCTAACTGCGATTACGTCAATTTAAACAAACCTAATTGTTGGTCTTATTGCGAAGCAAAGCATTATTATATTTTTTTCTTTCTGCGGAATAGTAGGCTGTCTCTGACAAGTAACCAAACATATCAGGCTGCTAGAGTTCACATCCTTATCGAAACTGGTCCACACATCACCCAACGCCTCAAAGCCAGAATCCCGGTTCATTCCAATTCCTTTGTTCTACTTTATTTCACCTGCACTTGTAGTACAGGTTACCTCTAACACACGACCAGGCGTCTGTCTAGGCGGTAGTGAAACTTGGCCCCTTCGGTCTGAAGATCTGAGGCGCCTTCAAGTCTTTGATCATCGTCGTTTGCGAAACATTGCTGGTGTCGGATGGCACCAGCGTGTCCTCAACGATGATGTGCGTAGGCGAGTACTAGGTGGTGATAATCATGCTAGCTCCCTAGAACAACAGATAGCACTGAATAAGTTGCGTTGGCTTGAGCACGTGCTACGCATGCCTGGTCACCGCTTACCTAGGAGGGCCTTGTTCAGTCTACCAGGTGTAGGATGGCACAAGGCTCGAGGTGGACAGAAGTTGACTTGGCAGAGGGAAATGAAGTCACTGACGACCAAACTGAGTGCCGTTGGTCCGTCTCGCCTTCCGGGTTGGAGCCCACGTGACTCACCTTGTGCTTGGCTTGAGACTTTGCAGGACATGGCTCGCAACCGACACCAGTGGCGTGTCTGCTTCCGTCTTCTAATCGGATTGCCTGTTTAAAGTATGTTTGGTGCTGAGTTATCTGCGGGGTAATGGCTGATTATGACGCGTGGCAGTGAAAGCCGCAAGGAAGCTGTCTCGCCGATGCCGCCTTATCTTTGCACGATAGCCAGCTGTTTGTGGCGGTATGTTGTCTACACAAGGTGTAGGCGCCTTGACCCTGAATGTTTGCTTAGGGCATTAAGGTTTTCAACTACGTCCCCCTTCTCTCCCTCTTCTTGTTCTTTATTTCATAGTTCCTCATGGTTGTATGGCAGCGAAGTATCAGTTCAAATGGCTGATGTACTGCTGTTGATGATGATGATGATGATGTCTAGGCGGTTGGAAAAACACTATTCTGTCACTTTGCAACCTGGTGTCATTAAGTGTCTGCAACTGCATTCCGGAACTTCTCTTTACCTCTGGCCATCGGAATCGGACTGAAGACGCTTTCACAGTAGTCCACAAACCATATCGAAGTGCAACCCCAACGGTCTCGAAAAGTGCTTGTTGGCCATCACTGAGGTTATTGCACTCCGACTACTACTACTGCTACAGCCGGAGTTGTGCAAGCAGGAAAGACTGAGACAAGCTCTCATTTTGCCATGGATGTGAGGAAATTCCCTATGTGTGTCCTTCAGTGACTGCAGCCGAAAGTTATCATTGTCGACTCCTCCTGAACCCCAACAAACTCGTGCTTTGTGCATCTATGTTGGTTCTCGGGTCCCATGATTTCCACTATCTGACTGAGAATCGACTGCACTCTCGATCGACTTTATTGACTAAACCAACCGAATACCTACCTTTCGTTTAGCTAAGTCTTGTAATTGTATTCGTCTGAAGTGAATTTCCCAAAAGAGTACTCTTCTCATTTATTGTGCTTCTCATTACTAGATCTGTCATGAATAGTTGTACAAAGGATTTCCTCGTTTTCTATCAACATTTCCGCTTTATCCTTCGTTGCACGTGTAATAATGGGGTAATCCCATACACATTACAGGTTCTTTGAAGCTGGTCGTAGTGAGGTTTTGATACTTTCGCCCATAACTGTTGATGTGCATACACCCCCACTGCGCGTCTTTAATTGTTACGTTCAGTAACAATTGAGATCAAGAGAGACTGAATGGTTGGTGGTTCGTGCCCATCCGAGGGCGCCTCGTCTGCCTTCCCGTGGCCAAAAAGAATCACATACCTACCTTTTATACTCCTAATGGTCGCGAGTTCGAGCTTGTGTAGGGGACCGGGCGTCCTTTGCGCGACTGATGATGGTGGCGTGGCAACAACGCCTCGGTACCGTATAGCAAAAGCTCGGGGCGCTTTTGCTAACCTTCGCCATTTATGGCGCCGGCGCGACATCGCCCTGAATGGTAGAGTGTACAATGCAGCAGTACGTTCGACCCTATTGTACGGTTGTGAAACCTGGCCGCTTAAAGCAACGGACCTGAAGAGGCTAGTTACGTTCGACCATCGGTGACTTCGCAGTTTGGCTCATATCTGGTGGGAACACCGCGTGAGCAAAGAGCGTGTTCGACTCCTTGTTTACGTCACAAGAAAAGGGAATGAACCGCTCAGCACCGTTATTTCACTCACCAGGCTCCGATGGCTCGGCCACGTGTTACGCATGTCAGCCCACCGACTCCCGCGACGTGTGTTGTTCGCGCGCCGGGGATGTGGATGGAAGAAGAGGAAGGGTGGCCAAGCGATGACTTGGTCCAGGGGAATGAAGTCCCTCACTTCGGAGCTAGCCTAGGTTGAAGCATCACGGCTCCCTGGTTGGGGTCCAAAAGACGGTGAATACGTTTGGCTGGATACACTTGCTGACATGGTAAGGAGCCGACCTTAGTGGCGTTCGTGCGGTGAGTTTCTTTGCCCACCCCATCCCTCTCTGCCACCCCTCCTACCACGATCTCATTATTTAGCCTTATATAATTTTGCACAGTAATTTTTTTGGTGCACAGCAGCCGGCTGGTAGCTTACCGGAACGATACCCATCCGTTACCGGTAGCTCAGCAGGCTTGCACCAGTTGTATTGCTTTTTTCTCCTCTTTTCTGTGTATTGCGGCACAGTAGCTGAGTTGTTCCCCACCTCTAGCTAACATGTATGATGATGATGGTACCGACCTAACACACAATAGGGAACAAAAAACTTAGTGGCAACACTTATCTGTCCAACATAACAATCTTTTTCCTGGATACATAGTAGGCTTTTTCCCCCGAGTATTAGTGTAAGAAAGATCAGGACTGTCTGAACTATTAATGCACACACTCATGCCTAACCCGTCTGTCACCAACAAACTGCCGTCTTTCTCAGTCGTTCCCACCTTGTGGAATCAATTTGTCTAGTGACGTGTCAGGATATTTGCAAATATGCGCATGCGTTTTGCCTTCTTTATTTTCCTTTATCTTCCCAATTTTTCACTGTTTCAGCCTGCTTGGAGCTTGTACTCGCCCAGTGGGTGCAACGTTCCACTTCGGAGTTTACGAAGACCACTACCCCGCTTCCTCAGTCTAACAACTCAGATGACGGATATGGGCCCAACAGCCCCGAATATCTTTTGTTTGATCCGTGGTGTCATCAAGACACTGCACCATCGGACACAGATTCTGCACAAAATGAAAACACACTCACCGATACGACTTTGTCCACTCACTCTCCGAGCTCCACAGATCCATCCTCTCGCTTGGTGAAACCCCTGCAGCGGCTCACGGAATCCGCTGCATCCAAACTTTCCCCTTTGCGTCTACATCCCACCGAACTGGGCAGTTTGAAGTTGATCATGCTCCTTAATCCAGGTCAGTATTTCTACTTTCGTTGGTATTTTAGAATTTCAAATGCTTCCATCGCAACGGAATCTTGTCACCTAGCCACCACATAATTTCAGGAAAAACGCTGAGCAGCAGTTTCCTATTGTGGGGTTTTATTAGCCACTCACAACTCCATCGAATTTTACGGGGCTTATACTCCTGTGACCGTCCAATGTATAGCCAACAGCTGCTTATGCCATTGAGTCGCAGCTGACAACAACGATTTGCCTGCCAGCTGTGGTATATCCCCGCTAATCTTCCATTGCTGTGAACGTTACTGCCTTGTGGGGGCTACCTCCAAAGTCACGGCTTTCACTACTCATCTGCCAGTAATCTTTGTGCTACGGGTATAAAGATTACTTTGATACGCAGAAATCGTCTATCGGAATGATGGATCAATGTTTACTCAATCAACCGGCTCTTACGGATGAAAGGACGAACATAAGGCACGAGCTCAGAATAAGGTCACGGTGGGAAAGTGTTGAATCCAAATTTCCTCTGAAACAGATGGGCATATTTCCCACAGTATTCCCCATATCCTTTTGTTGAACCATTTCAATGCATAAGGATGCTGAAATTATAGGGAAATCATGGGAAAAAAACAACAACAGCAATGTATTACATGCCAAGTGGGTGGTACGAGGGTCATTCAATAAATAAGGTGAATTTTTCGGTATAAGGACTTCTATTACAGATAGAAGCTTATTTTTTGTTTATTTTTGTTGTTTTACTTCTTTTTCACATGGATGTAATTTCTTTTGCAGATTGAAAATAAACTTTGAGAGTTGTAGTGATTAACAAAGATGGCCAACCAAACAGCATGCTCCAGGATTGAACAGCGGTCGGTTATCAAGTTTTTGGTTGCTGAAGAGTGCAAACCAGTTGAAATTCATAGGAGAATGTCAACTGTGTATGGTGCCACATGTTTCAGCCGAAAAAATGTCTACAGGTGGGCAAAATTGTTTAAAGAAGGACGGAGCAGTGTTGAGGGTGAAGATAGGCCTGGGAGGTCTACAGAAGTGAGGTCTCCTGAGGTGATCGAATCAGTCAATGACCTCATTCAGTCGGTCAGAAGGGTGACAGTGGATGGCATGGACAATTTTGTGTGCCGCCGCAACAGATAAGCTCAAAGTCCTTGCAATGTCATCCACTATCACCCTTCTGTCCGACTGAATGAAGTCATTGATTGATTCGATCACCTCAGGAGATCTCACTTCTGTAGGCCTCCCAGGCCTGTCTTCATCCTCAACACTGCTCCGTCCTTCTTTAAACAATTTTGCCTACTTGTAGACATTTTTCGGCTGAAACATGTGGCACCATACACAGTTGACATTCTCCTATGAATTTCAACTGGTTTGCACTCTTCAGCAACCAAAAACTTGATAACCGACCGCTGTTCAATCCTGGAGCATGCTTTTTGGTTGGCCATGTTTGGTAATCACTACAACTCTCAAAGTTTATTTTCAATCTGCAAAAGAAATTACATCCATGTGAAAAAGAAGTAAAACAACAAAAATAAACAAAAAGTAAACTACTATCTGTATTAGAAGTCCTTATACCGAAAAATTCACCTTATTTATTGAATGACCCTCGTACAAAGTGTTTGTCGACCTAAAAACTGGGGAAAATGAGGTGAGGATTAAAGGCTAGTTTAATACACTCATCTTTTATGATGGACAATAACTAGCAATAAAGCTTCTGGATATCCTGTAACTAAGTTAAAAGTCCTTCTATGTGAAAAATAGTTTAAATGCAACACTAACTAACCTGTCGCAGCACGAATTTGGCACCGCGGCAATGAATGGAAGTGAACTCTCCAAGACACATGCGGTGTTTCGCCAATTTCAAGCTAACTGCGGATAAGTCAAATGTCGCCTTTTTCACTAAAAATGCATGTTTGCTTGCTTTAACGAAAACCTATACAAAGTTTTGCCGACTTGAAAACTGCGGCAATGCAAAACACTACTAATCGTTTGATATCCGTGCAAGCATATTTGTAAAGCCAGGTAGGAGGGAAAATTACTGCTTTATTATAATCTGTTCAGGCCAATTGTCAACTTTCGCGGCTCTAGATTGTATATTGCAAAGGCTTTTCGGTGGCCCCTTTCAATCCCGCTGTGGAGATACATTCGACTTCAAAGGTGTGTCATGATAATAGCTATCGTTTGCATGTGCCCTCATCTCTAGCCGCACACGATGCTGTCCGATTGGTCAGCTCTCACCGATAGTAACCATTTGTTTTGTCTACTCGAAATCGAACATCATCGATCAATTCGCAAATCCGATGTGCTATGCTCTGTGTGATCCTGCTCGTTGCTATTATTACTCGGGCGGCATGCTCTCAGGTTGACTTGCTCTCTGGCACTCTAGTGAGTCGTCACTATTTCGTAACAATTGGGCGGGTATGTGTGTCTTGGCTTTGTCAACGCCCTAATATTGTCTGCTGCATTTGCGCTATGAAACTCCACCACTCTCCATTAGGTAATCGATACTCGCCCTAACGGCGGGGATATTAATAAACAGCGTCGTCACAATGGCAACAGCAACGAGTTTCATTGCTCTCACCGAGATCGAAGTCCTTTACTAACCCGTCTTCATGACTTAAGCAGGGACTATTTACCATTTGAAGCAAGCCAAAAATCCCACCGCGTACTCGGAACTTAATAAGTGTATTGAGTTCTGTGCGCAACATTCAGAGCCGAACATCAAGCTTCGGTATCTAAGCAACTGCATCGGTTGTGGCACATATCTAATGGGTTGCTTCGCCATGTTTCGTCGAAATCATGTCAGTATCACCGAGGATGCCCTACGGCGTCTGTTCTTTTGCGAAAGGAATACGTGGAATACCTACAGCAGATTGCATCGAAACGTCAGCCCGTCAGTTACGTCATGTTCAGGGTGGAATTTCCGAAAAAATCTGAGCACTTCGTTCACAACCTCTCATCATTGCAGCTAGCTAGACCGACCCCTGAAGTACCGTCTCTGTGTTCAACTTTCGTTGCCTCACGTCAGGACACAAACAGGCTGATTTAAAGGTGGAGTTTGAAAATGTTTACGCGCACGTAGCTGCATTGGTGCTTACAAGTGAAACAAATATTGAAAAGCTTAAAACAACTCTGGTTCATTCATTTTACCAATATTTGATCCACACTCTTCAAACAACAACTGTTGGTGCGGAAAGACGCTAGATGTCATCCGTGGGATTTAGCCAGGATTCGCTCTCATGTAACAGAACTAAACAAACGGTGGCGTGTGAAATACGGCCCTTTACAGGAATGGAGATATCCCGACGTCACCACAAGTGCCTCAGGTGGACAACTGACGACCGGGCTTATGGGGTGCAGCGGCAGGCTTCCTTTCCGATAGTGCCACATTGAGGAGCAGAGATGTCATTCCACATCAGAATCGCCCCAGCCTCCCTATCAAATTTCCACTCAATGTCTAACAGTACAATCTGCTCTTATACCATACAAAAACGCGGTGATTTTTCTAAATTTATGGAACCTAGGGGTGGTCGGCTTCGAAATCCTCACAAGGCTTTTCAGCCGCCAGTCATCGACAACAGCAATACATCAGCCATCTGAACTGATACCTCGCTGTTGTATCACCAGAATGTCCAATGGAATGGAGGATAATGAAGAGGAAAGAGTGGGATCTAGTATTGAATCTACATGCTCTAATCAAACCTACAGGCCAAAGCTCACACCCTTTGTCAACAACCTACAGTCACTAGCAGCTGGCTATCGATGAGACAACCTCCTTGTGGCTTTCACTGCTCCGCATTATAATCAGCGATTACTTCGCAGATAGCTTAGCACCCTGCACACTTTAAACAGACAGTCCGACTGGGAGAGGGTAGCACGCGCACCACGGGAGCCGACTGCGAGCCATATCCTGTAACGTCGTGGACAAGCACATGGACTCCAAGCTGGAAGGCGAGATGGGTCAACAGCACCAAGTTTTGTAGTCAGTAACTTCATTTCTCGCTGTCATGTCAACTTTTGTTTACCTCGTGCCTTGCACCTTCAGACATCCGACTTACAAAACAAGGCCCTCCTCGGTAAGCAGTGACCGGGCATACATATCCCGTGCCCTAGCCAAAACAAGACTGCTCCCTCGAGATGGCCAATCGATACCACCCATTGAACTTCATCACCAGCGTTCTTCCTTCCTATCACATGTCTCTCCATCCTCGCTGACGCAGCAAGGGACTGCTCTTCAATTTACAACCGATACCATTAGCCTGCTTAAATCGTCTTTCGAACCGATGTCAGCCCATACGATCTATTCCATCGTCCATATTTGTTGTCGCATCAATCAATAGATAACAGCATGTACATTTACTTTGTGCACTCTTGAAGGTCATACGTAGGTTTCCCAGAGGGATATACCAACGAGACGACCATTTTGCATTAAGTCTGTAGCTCCCGGTTTCTAATTCCGGCAACTGAGTTTACACACCATCAAACGTGGCAATGTCTTTGAACTGTTCGTGGCCGTTTTCGCTGAAACATCGTTTCACCGTCATCTACTGTGGATATTTCAATTTCCTAGGAATATTCTGATGAATTCTTTGACTAAGCTATTTCCAAAGTCTCCAAAACGGTCTTATTCCGCGGACTCTTTGAAGAAAATGTGCTGAGTTACTGCGCACATTTCGCACTTTGTTACTTTAGGCAAAGCAAAACCATTACTCAAGGAACGCCTTAGTCTGACTTTGCCACGTCAGTCAGATACAAGTCCGGATGATTCTCAAGCCCTATTCCCATTTTTCTCTATCCTTTTGCCCGTTGATCGACTTCTTCGGCTTGCATTATGCGCCGTGACTGCACCAACTTCATTGGGTTGTAGGGAGCAGAAAGGAGAACCCTTGTCATCTCCATTCGATTCCGATTCATAGTGGAGTAGCTGCGTGTCATGGTGTAACGACGTTCATCGATGGCTCGTCGTAGTTGCAATGGGAGCAGCAGGATCCCAGGGTCTTCATTAAATGTCTGTCTAAAAGCCTCTTGAAACATTCCTCCGAAGGTGCGTCAACAGTTTCCTTTGGTAAACTGTTCCACTCATTCACCACCCGGAGGGACAGGGTGAGGTCTTAGCGAGCGTTGAGTCTTCGTGGTTTGAACAGCTTCTTTTTGTGACCTCGAGTCAAGCAGTCGGCGTTGGGGTGGAAGGACTACAGTAGCTTGTTTCCGAGTTCACCAAGAAGGATGTGTCTAGCGTAGATAAGATCGCCGTGGCGACGACGCGACTCCATGGTAAACAGGTTCAGCTGGTGAAGTCGGAGAGGGTAAGGAATATCGCGGAGCCTGAAAACAGCTTTCGAGGCACGCCTCTGGACAATCTTTGTCAAAAAGCCCTCAAACTTAAAGTGAAGAAAAACGGCTGGCTGCCCATATTCTAGTATGGGACGTACGCATTCGGGTATAGTGGTCGGAAGACATCAGGAGTCATTCGGGAGAACGACCTTCTCAAGGCACCTAGAAGCCTCTTTGCAGCTGTGACCTTCTTGAGTGTGTCCTGCGACGTCCTTACGTCGGAGGATACGATGACCCTGTGATCCTTTTCTTAAGTGGTGTACTTGAGAAGCAATCCACCAAGGTGGTATGTGCCATATGAGTCAGTTTTACTGCACATTTATCGCGATTTACTGCTAATCGCCACTTGGTAGACCACTCGTGCAGTCTATCTAGAGCCTCTTGTAATTTGTCGGCATCGTCTTTGCTGCATACTGTTGATCAGAGTTTAAAATCATCAGTGTAAATCAAGCAGTCGGTTTGGAGCGCAACCGGGAAGTCATTTATGTACATTTCGAAAAGTTTTGGTCCAACTACGGATCTTTGTGGAACCCCACTTGTCATTGGCACAGGGGCTTTGATTGATGTTTACGCGTAGGCTGCGGTCCCTTAGGAAGTCGGCGATCCAGGAGAGGGCTTTGCACGTCACACCGATCTCCTGAAGTTTAAGCAACAGCCTTTGGTGAGGAACTTTGTCATTATAATGGAATGTGCCAGCTGTACGCCGTAAGGGCGCTTCGCTACCGTGCGACCACCACCAGTCGCACGCGCGCTGAGTATACTGCGAGGACGCCCACCCCTACCCGGATTCGAACCCACGCCGCAAGATTACAAGCTCGTTACCTCTAGGCTACGGGCTTTGCTGAAGTCGATGAAGACCCCGTCTATAAGTTTTTGGGCATCTATGGCTTGTGCCCAATTTTCTCTGGCAACTAGCAAATTGGAAACGCAGGAACGTGCTTCCCGGAAACCATGTTGGGATGGAGAAATTACATCGTAATTCTTGTAGTGTAGCTGGATCGCGCGTTTGTGGTTTCGTTCTATGGTCTTACAGATGACGGATGTTCGGCGAAACCGCGAGGTGGTCAGTTCATGACATGGCGTAGAAGCTTGAAGAAATTGGCTGAGAGACTTGGTCTGGTCGATGCATGCCATGTTCGTGGAATAGGGCCGCGTGGGACAGTCCCCGCATCAGCCCCTTTCCACACACATGGTGCAGTCAGTGGTGTTGTTGCTGCATTCGGTTTCTTGCTCCTAGTCGTTACCTTTCCCATCATGACTAGTCTAGCCCACCACTTCCGTCCTGATTCCATTTCCTTTGTATTTCATTCGCATTCATTCAAATTTTTTTGTTATTTATATTTATTATTCTTGCCATGTGAGCCGTAGCAACTGGATACACCGCACTTCGGTACCCGGGTCATAGTTGTTCAACTGAACGGACTGTTATCTTGTTGACACGAGTCGTGGCAACTGTATGCACTGCAATTCGGTAACTGGGTCATGGTTGTTTGACTGAATTGTTCTTCCCTTTCGTTTTTTATGCCAAGTTCCCACACTGTACTTTCTCTCTTACACACTCACACCCTCTATTTCTTCTCCAGATGCCACTGGGCTCTCTTCACAGTTCCGATCTCTGGTCGAAGCTGCTCGCGACCAAGTGTATGCTGGTTTGGAATACCAGTGCAATCAACTGTGGCCCGGTGCTCCACATGGCCGCATGGGTCGTCTGATTCTACGTATTCCTGCATTTCACCTGCTTGCTTTACGTGTCCGCACAATGATGGAACGCACCGGTGGCGTCGCACACCTCATGAATGCACTGGAGGCCGCCTTTCGAGCATGCCCCGTTACGGCTGACACTGCCGAACCCTATGAAGCTGTCCAACGGCCTCACGGAAGCAGTTTTCTTCCTCTACTCTCTACTGACACGTGATCCCACTTCTCCAAGCCGATGACCTCTCTGCTCCTCGTTGTGCACGGATTTTCGCGTTCCATCTATTTACTGATCTCATTGTTTAACCGTTACACCTACCTCTCTCTGCTTGCGCTCTTTCAACCCCGCCCCTCCCCCAGTCTTTACCTATCTATACAACGCATGTTGTCGTATCCATCACGCTGATTTATTCTCTCTTTGCTGTCACTTTCTGTTCCGTATTCCCCCTCCTCCAAACCGGTTACCCGACATGTCCGCCCTCACTCAGGCTCTTTGCCTATGTGTTTCCCCCGTCCCCCAACTTCTCTTTCTCTCTCTCTGTTGTGTTCGCCCTGTTGTACAGCCCCATTTGGGGAATTCGATGTGCTTATCTTCCCAAATGATCCCTTTCCCCATATATTTGTCCACACACACACATCGAATGCCACGACTCGCATCTGATCCACTGTGTGTGCATCCCAACTATCCAGAGAGAATTTGTGATTGTAGGGGGTGTTGTGCTCTGCGTTTACTTCTCACACACCGTTTATATTCGTTTACTTTTATTTTATGTCGACACTACTACTATGTGACGTATAGTTTATGCTTCATCAGTCCGGTTGGGTTTGAATTCGTTTCAGACCAATCCAGTGGTCTTTTAGTAATCTTTCTCGCCAAACTTATCAAGCGTAACACACACACTACCTCAACTCTGTTAACAGCTTCATTTTCCTGCGAATTTTTTCTCCCTTTGGTGCTCCGTTGTTTCTTGATCGTTGACCTCTGCACTGATTTCATCCCCGGTTCCACTTCTTCACATCTGTCGTCCCGATATCCTCAGGTGTTTCATCGCTTCGCATTCAGCCTCAGGGTAGAGATCTGGCCCAATCCGCACACCGGGTCGCTGTGTGATGACCCTCTTTAAATTGTCTTCTCCTTTTCCCCCACGTTTATCCTCTTTTTTACACAACCTTTGTTTTCGTCTTCTCAGGGCTTTTTTACACAATCTCTTCACCTGTTTGTAGTATTGTCTCCATTTTTAGCCGCATTAGAGTTGTTATACTGTGACTATTGGTCGATGTTGGGAGTGGATCCTAGAACAGTGAATTAATTTCTTCATCTTTGTAAACTTTTTCTGGACGGGTATTGATTTCTTATTCTCTCTACTGTACCGGAGCCTTATCCGAACACGACGTTCGTATACTTTTGTGTTCATCGTTTTCTACGTCTTCTTCCAGATCGCTCGTTAGTTCAGGCGGATGTACGTGATGCTTGCCTGCGGTTGCCAACATTTGTGTGCAGACAACTGCTCCGACGGCAGAGACCACTGGCTGGTCCTCAATGAACAGCTCTTTATTTTTGGGTTTAGCTTCTGTCACGATAGCACTTTGTGCGAATAACCCTGTAGCAATGAAACCGAGTATAAACTATGTTGTGGTGTACTTAGCTATCTGGACATAGAGCTCTTCCGCAGTAGGTTCCCTGTGCTTTCCTGTAGCCGTTGTCCTAGAGAGCAATGTAGAACTCGCCACCAGGTTTACAACATACGGGTGTTAAGCGGAAACGGTACAGTGTGACAGTAGAATTATTGGTATTGAGTAGTTCTTGGTACAGTGTCTTGCGGTCGGACTATATTTCTAACGGTCCGCGCGAAGCGCCACTTTCCAACATTGTACTTGGGTCGATCAAACACGGGGTTGGCGATTCTAGTAACCTCGACTTGTCCACCGAGTTTCTCACGTACAATGCTTATTTACAAGTAACTAATAGACGCTATCAAGCTAGCCAAATTGTGTTACTGAAACGTATTTAACAAATGCTTTTCAGCAATATATATATATATATATATATATATATATATTGTAAGCGACAAATTCGCTTGGGGGCTCGAGTGGCGGACAAACTCTCCGGACCAACAAAGAGAGGAAGCCGAGATGTTAACTGCGGTACTATTCAAATAGTAATTAAAATGCAATAGGTACATACCTCGAAAATGCCCGATCGCTTCCGAAACCACCGGTCTTCATAATGTCCAAAAGGAATGCAAACGGTACTTACCACCGTACATAAAGAGTCACACGATACCGAGTCCACGATCATCGCCTATCACCTTTCTTTTATTAGGTCCGTTAACCCTTTGTTCATTAATTTGCTATACAGCGTGGAAAACGGAACACGATGGGCTGGACTGTTGGAGTGGCTTGGCTCAGTCAAACAGTGGCGGTAGGAGGAACATGGAGGTGCGTACCCCCTGGAGCGGAAGGATGATTCAAGTCCGAAGTGCATGTGTAGGGGGAGGGTGGTCTGGACGGGTTGCACAGTGAGAGGTGAAGTGCAGTCATAACAACATCCATATGTGCTCACATGTGGGATAATTGGTAAGCCGGCACTTATCAATTGCGGCAGGCGTCTTCTTTGATCATCCAGACTCACATGCGGCTTGCTACTTACATAATGCAGAAGAGTAGTAGGGGGAGTTGAATAGTATGGGTGGAAATCCGTCACAGCTAGACTTACTCAGACAACCATCACACGCCCGGAAAAGCACTGTACGCGCGTTTCATCCTTTCGGGAATCATCAGCAGTGCGCATTCCATCGGACCCTTGGTAGGGCTCGAAACCGCAACTCGACTGTTGCCAGTCCGTGGTTGAGACCACTGAGCTAAGGGGGACGGCAACGACCATCGTGAATAAGTTACTAGATGTGATATATCGCCGCTCATACATAATAGTTATGTCGGTTGGCATGTAACCATGGCACATAAACTGGGTGAGCGGATAGATGATAGGAGTTAAGGATTATATCATGTTATTCATCTTGTGGATTACATAACACTTAGGTCGGGAGGGCAAGTAACCATGGGACCTAGGGTGGGTAAACAAATAGTTGTTGGGAATCCAGAGTTAGCTCTCGTCATCCATTTCGCGCAATGCGTGGTAACTACCGCCTATACATATATATATATATATATCATCATACACGTTAGCTGGAGGTGGGGAACACCTCAGCTACTGTGCCGCAATACACAAAAAAATGCAACTGGTGCAAGCCGGCTGAGCTACCGGTAACGGATGGGCATCGTTCCGGTAAGCTACCAGCCGGCTACTGTGCATCAAAAAAATTACTATGCAAAATTATATAAAATCAAAGAATGAGATCGTGATTGGAGGGGGAGGCTAAGAGGGATGGGGTGGGACAAAGAAACTCACAGCACGAACGTCACTGAGGTCGGCTTCTAGCCATATCAGCAAGTGTGTCCAACCAAACGTGTTCATCGTCTTTTGGACCCCAACCAGGGAGCTGAGACGCTCCAACCGAGGCCAGCTCAGAAGTGAGGGCCTTCATTCCTCTCGACCAAGTCATCGATTGGCCACCCCTCTTCTTCTTCTATCCACACCCAAGGCGCGCAAACAGTGCACTTCGCGGGAGTCGGTGGGCTGGCATGCGTAACACGTGGCCGAGCCATCGGAGCCTGGTGCGTGAAATAACGGTGCTGAGCGGTTCAGTTCCTTTTCCTGTGCCATAAACAAGGCGTCGAACACGCTCGTTGCTCACGCGGTGTTCCCACCAAATGTGAGCTAAACTGCGAAGGCACCGGTGTTCGAACGTAACTAGCCTCTTCAGGTCCGTTGCTTTAAGTGGCCAGGTTTCACAACCGTACAATAGGGTCGAACGTACTGTTGCATTGTACACTCTACCCTTCAGGGCAAGAGTGATGTCGGGCCGGCGCCATAAGTGGCGAAGGTCAGCAAAAGCGCCCCGAGCTTTTGCTATGCGGTTCGTGATCTCATCTTCAATCCCACGGGCGCTGATACAACTTCCCAGGTAGTTGAATTTTTGAACGACTTCTAGATGATCCCCACCAAGGGTCAGCGCAGGAGGCGATCCCTGCCAATCTTGGAGGAACGCTTTGCACTTCGAGGGTGCAAAGCAAAGCCCGAAGTGACGGACAGCTAGTGCTAATCTGTCCAGTGCCGCTTGGCACATTTGTGAGCTGTCACAGATTAGGGCAATATCGTCAGCATACTCCAAGTCAAGAAGTCGTTCTCCTGGGAGTAGCTCCACACCTTCTAAGTCGTGTCCTGTGAACGCGATTTCCATGACTTCGTCAACAGCGAAGTTGAAGAGGAAAGGTGACAGCGGGCATCCTTGTCTCACACCGCTGGAGATGTTGAAGGGTGGCGACAGCTTGCCGTAAGCCCTCACTCTGCCCGAGCTACGCGCATATAATGCTCGGATAATATTCACATATTTCTCCGGCACACCTTTCCTGAGTAGACAGTCCCAAAGTGCTTGTCTATCCACCGAATCGAAGGCACCTTTGATGTCAAGGAACACGACTACGGTGGGCCGCCAATATATATGACGGTGCTCCAACAACTGACGCAAGGTGAAGATGTGGTCAATGGAGCCACGACCTCGACGAAATCCAGCTTACTCTTCATGAATCTGGCTTTCACGATTGCCAGTCAGTCTGTGAAGGATGACAGAGGCAAGCAATTTGGAGGCGATGGATATCAGACTGATTCCTCTATGGTTGCCGCATTCCGATCGTGAGCCTCCTTTGAAAATTGGGACTATGATGGAGCGGCTCCAATCGGTTGGGACAGTTTCCTGCTCCCACAGTTTGACTAGTAACTCGTGTAAATCATCCATAAGAGCAGGTCCCCCGAGTTTGAAGTGGGCTGGAGGATGATCATCAGGTCCCGCTGCTTTATTTAACTTCAACAGTCCAATCTCACGTTCGACTTCTGAGCGCGAGGGTGGATCCAAAGGGACAACCCAGGGAGTGGGGCGATCAGTGGCTGGAGAGAAATCTAACCATTGCGACCGATTAAATTGCTTTTCAAAGTGCTCATCCTAACGCTACAAGCGTCTTGATAAGTTGTGCATAGGCTGTCCACTCTCGTCACGTATAGTTCCCCTAACACCAGGTCTCCTGCTGCCCGTTTCCCGTATCAACCGGAATAACTTACGATGGTTACCAAGGGCAGCGGCCATTTCCATCTCTGTTGCACGACGAGACCACCAGGATTCGCGGTCTCTCTTCAGGCTAGCACGGAGCTTTGCCCGGAGCTCTTTGCGAGTTTCATTGTGTTCGCTTCCAGCCGGAATATGCCGGCGTGCATCTATAAGTTCCAGAGACTGTGAAGAGACCCAATTTCTATGTTGACGATTAGAAATACCACATGAGGATTTGCCTGCTGCTAGTAAGGTCTGGTGAATATGAGACCAATGAGCTTCAATTGCATCCAGTGAGCGTTTATCCAACTCGCATGACAGCGTACTTTGATACGCATTCAGAACCGCTGGCTTCGCCAGTTGGCTGGTGTCAATGCGCTCACAACGTCGTCGTGGGCGTCCGCCAAAGCGCATCCGCAGGTCAGCACATACAAGTGCATGGTCGGTGTCCACACCTGTGCTGCAAATCGAGCGACAGTTCTGGACGCAGCCTCTCCATCGGTAACTTATCGCAATGTGATCGATTTGCGTCCATAGCTGGTTCGAGGCTGGTGGGCGCCAAGTCACCATCCGGCGGGTGCTGTGTCTGAAATTAGTGCTTGTAAGAAATAAGCGAGCATCCTCACACAAATGAAATAACCGCTCACCGTTATCATTACGGGAGCCTACACCATGTTGGCCGCCCAGATGCAGTTCATCAGTGGATAATTTTCCAACTTGAGCGTTCAGATCCCCAGCAAGCACTACAGTGTCCGAGCTTCTTCTGTGGCTAAGGAGCTCGTTCAGTTGATGATAGAAGTCGTCTTTTACCGAGTCATCGCTACATTTTGTCGGTGCATAGGCAGCGATAACGAATAGACAGCTGGTAATCCCACGTGACTTCGAAGCTTTGAACGAGCCAGCCCATCGGACCGCACACATCCGGCTACTGATTGGAATCCAGTCAACCAGAGCAGCTTCAGCCCGGGGACTCAGGGCAATACCAACACCAGCTTGGCCGGTGCTCGAAGCTGCATCGTCACCGGATCGGCGCAATGAGAAAGTGCTGCTAGTGTCATCTGAAGGGGATCGCAAAGTGAGTACCGAGCTCGAGTCTTGCAGGCGGGTCTCCGATAAGCAGCAGATATTAATCGATAGGGTCTCTAATGTTCGGGCAAGTGCTGCCTGTTGACCGATCTGAAGCAATGTGCGAACATTGAGGCATGCCAATCTGAAGGATGATCGGGGGCTCCAAATGGAAGCCGATGAAC